AATTGGTTAGATTATAGATTAAAGTTTTTGTTTTTTTAATGGTCTAAAGTAAATTAAGTTCATATTAAGTAATGTTTTTGTAGGGGTGGGTCTAAATTGCAATAGACCTGGATCAGCTTGTCACGACCACAGGTTTATAGGTGGTGATGGAATTGTGTTCTATTTCCATGGAAAGAGCAATGAACATTTTAGCCTTGTCTCGGACCTTGACTTTCAGATCAATGCTAGGTTTACTGGCCATCGACCCGCTGGTCGTTCTAGAGACTTCACTTGGATCCAAGCTCTAGGCTTCCTCTTCAAGTCTCATAAGTTTTCCATTGAGGTTACCAAAGTAGCCACATGGGACGATAGCATCGACCATCTCAGATTCTCTTTCAACGGCCAAGATTTAGTTATCCGCGAGGATATTCTCTCCACATGGTAAATACTATCAAAATATCATGCTTTACGTTGACATCATTTCAAATACAATTTTCCAAGTCTAAGTGTATTCGATGATAAAATCTTTTTCAGTACTTGAGAATTTGTATCTTGCTACACTAAGCACATGTGTGTTTGAGTAGGTATTCGCCCGAAAAGGACATTAAGATTGAGAGAGCGACAAAGATGAACAGCGTGAGCGTGACAATAAAAGACAAAGCAGAGATCATGGTCAATGTGGTTCCTGTGACTAAAAAAGACGATAGGATCCACAACTACAAAGTACCTTCGGATGACTGTTTTGTGCATCTCGAGGTTCAGTTCAAGTCTTTTAACCTATCCCCAAAAGTCGATGGAATCTTGGGACGCACTTATAGACCCAATTTCCAAAATCCGGCTAAGCCTGGAGTCGCAATGCCAATGGTTGGTGGTGAGGATAACTTCAGGATATCTTTTCTACTCTCTCATGACTGTAAGACTTGCATTTTTGGGAACAGGAATTGATGTTTACGGTTCTCCTAACTTCTCTAAGAGAGTAAAAGCTATAAAAGTGGAGATCTTTGCTAACTTCTCTAAGAGAATAAGAAAAAATAACAAAGATCTCTTTTGAAGTCAAAATATGCAAAGAGGAAACTGTCCCACGTCGGTAAAAATGTGTAATAACCCGAACATGGGCTCACGAGAGTATTTAGTTGACAAGGACGAAAGTAGAAACCGAATGAGACGCATTTCTTTTTTTTAATGAGAGGTTTAGTTATAAATATAGCAACCTGATCGTTTGATGTTTTTGAGATTAGAGTGGTTGGTCTTGTGTTGTTTGTTTGACTATTGTGTCAATGCCAGCCTTGACCACTCTTGCTTCCATTACTCTTCTGTTTATGAGTAATCAATAATAAAATAATTTGTTATGGCTTTCCTTTTTCTCCTATTCGTTCAGTTTTTGCTTATACCATTATTATAGTTTCAAAAACATGGAATTTAGGTCTTTGCTAGTTTTTTTTTTGTTTTCTTTTTGAAAATTTAGGTCTTTGCTAGTTGCATTCTTTTTAGCCGTTCTGTAACTTTAGGAAGCTTTGAATATTAGTGCTTATTTGTATTCTTTCCTGGCTCATTAGAGAATTGTGGAATGCAAAGTTTTAATTCTCATGCCCGCCGTATTAATTAACATTTTAATTCTCATGTCCGCCGTATTAATTAACATAGGATAATATGGTAGTTATTATTCATAAACCAAAGGAACATAACACTAAAGGAAGGTACTTTTTATCAAAGAAAAACACACACAACGCATGACATCACTCGGAATTCCAAAGCATGAACCTTACATCAAAGGAACAAGCTACTTTATTATTACAATGCATTTCAAAACATAACTCAGAACTTCAAACCGGAATCTTTGAGTTTCTCCTCCATTATCATGTCAATTTTGATCCCCATTTCCGGAGTTAGATGATTCTTCCAATCACCCACTATCCCTTTGCGAAAATGGTTCTTGTAATCAATGCCATTGATCGATTTTCCGGTCTGGTTGACCTCTAAACTGCTCAGGTTAGGCAGAGAGCACATTTCCAAGATCTCATCCATAGATCCATTTTTTTCTTCATCCTCAGAAAAAGGACAACCCAAGAACTCAGCAAGTTTCTTAAGCTGACCATGAGGATCTGTTTTCACTTCATCGTACCTTATAAACAGAACATGCTTTGGGTTTTCCAAGCTAGCTTTCCAATAACTCAGGATATGATCCCAAAAAGGACCAAACAAGCAAACTCCACTGCAAAATGACTCAAACATGGACTCAAGAATGTTTCTGTCCTCTTCTTTGTTCAGACACCTGCAAATGATATGCCAACGTGACACCAGAGAATCCTTAGCATCCCTGCAAATGTACACTACCTTGCAAGGAGAGTCTTTGAGAGCTTCTTGCAGCGTATGGAAGGGCATGTGAGTAGAGAACAACCTTGGAGATGTCGACGATGAGAGCTTGGTCAAGTCTGGTTTTTGGGTGTTGCGATACAGATTCATCTCAAGAACCGGTACGAGGTTATGAGGATTGTTGGAGAAAAGAGGATGATGATGATGTGGGCTCATAAGATCATCAGAAGAACGGTTCATTGATCTCTCGAAGAGCGCCACAGTGAGTGCCTTGAGCCATAAGGTACCGCATTTGGGGAAGGATGCGATGATGATATCAGTGTCTTCGGGCTGAAAACCTCTCTGGAAATTGAGGACACCTTGGAGAAAGTTGAAGTAATACCAAGAACCTTGGTATTTGCAGAGGTTTCGACCGAGGTAGTCATGTTTCTCTGAAGGAATGGAAGAGATTAGAGTCTTTGTTTCTTCGGTTAAGTCATCGTCTCTCAAGTTCATCCAAAACTCTTTCTTCTCCATTTTTTTTTTGTTTGACCGACTTATGTTGGTTACAATTTGTGTGTTTGCTTCAAAACCCCTAGCATCACTATTTATATTGAAAATCTTGTATACTATGAAAGAGAATTTTTTTTTTTAAATTAAAAGAAAGAGAATAAGTTGTGAGATAAAATGTTAAAAGATAGACCCAATCGTATGTTTACACATCATTATTTAAAATATGTATTTATTTTCTTACTATAAATTTAATAACATAACAATAAGTCAATAAGTTAAGAAAATATAGATTCATCAAAAATTAAAACAGCCACATGAATATATAGATAAATTAAAAATGTGTATGCAATGCATCAAGTCTCCAACATTGTAATAAAAATGTGTATGCAATATATAGATAATTAGAAAAAAATAATATCAAGAAAATTGATCTGGAAGTAGAGGAATAACGTCTCCTTCACTTCTTCGCACCATCGCAGCTCAAGCAACAGTCTTTTATGTTTGGAAGCACACGAATAACTCTAAGCCAATGGTCGACAGTTTTGAATTCTTCACCTAAACCTCTAAACAAGACAGAGTCTTTGGAGCTTCTGAATCAGCCATCAAATGGGCCCTCGGACCAAGCCTAACAAAAGACAAACGAAGGAAAGACCCATAACTTAAAACAGAGTGCTTTGTCTTCAACGGTCAAAAGCAGAGAAAGCATCCACGAAGGTTCCTCAAGGTGTACGGCTCCTCCAGCTCACAGTATCCACCTCGCTAACCGTTTTGATCCTCTCAGCTCCAGCATCGTTTCATGATACGAAGACAAGTGTCAAAATCCTACTTAATTGCATTCTCAATATAAAGCAAAACCTTGTAATTGCTTTAACAAGTTGAATAAAAGTTATCCTCTTTTCTTCTTCCCAAAGCTTCAAGCTTTTGCTTTCA